AACTGACAGCAGAGTCTCAGGCACTTAAACAAATTTTTGAAAAAAAAAATCAGCACAACCACCCACATCTCTGATTTTTTTCTGCTGTCACTTTTATGGTTCAGTTAGTTTGTCTATATGCACTCGTTTCCAGTTTTGTCTGGATTTCTCAACAGCCAAATCATTCCTTAATCCTAGACATATACTTCTCTATCTTGAAAAATGATTTTGTTGAAAGACCACTGGTTTGGGAGGCAGAAAAACTGAGTTCTAGTCTTGACTCTGCTGTTAACTAGCAAACTTATCCAGGCTAAGTCACTGAACCTGTATCCTTATCTGAAAAACATATTCCTCCAAAAAAACTTACTGAGTACCTACCAGGTGCCAGGTACTGTTGTGAGTGCTTAGGATCCATCAGGGAAAAAAAACAAAGACCCCGGCCCCCAGGAGCATACATTCTGAAGTCAGACAATGAGGAACAAATGCAATAAATGGGATAATTGTATCATGTGATAGATAGTGAAAAGTATTATGAAAAAAATTAAAAATAAAGTTGGGGCGGGGGCAAGTTGGAGGTCAGGAGAAATGCCTGAGGAGTTACTGGAAGGAGATGAAGGAGTTACCATGAGGGTATGTGGGGGAAGAATGTTCCAGGCAAAGTCCTTGAGTATTTCCTCAGTCTCCCTTTTCCTCCACACTCCATTTCTGCATATTGACCTCAGAGGAGGTTTATAATGCATACAATCTTCAGGCTGTTCTTCCATGCTCCTCCGTACATTTCTTTGAACAGCCAAAAAATAACTGTCCATTCACTTTGAACTAGCCCATTGGCATTAGGTGCAAGAGCCTCTCACCTTGTGTTTATTTTCCAGGACCTCTGTGTGGTATTTTCCTGCCATCCAAAAGCCTAACTCTGTATGTATTATTTCAAACATCACATGGACATTTCCTTCCAGCTCTGCACAGGACAGTGCAAATATACAGTGTGGGCAAAAGCCGGCAAATGTATCTTTAAAAAAAGACATGGCTCTTGATGAAGTACCTACCATTTCTGAATACCTCTTATGTGCCAGGTGCTTCGCATTCCTTATTTCCCCTAATCCTCACCACACCTCCATCTCTCTCAGGTTAGCGTTCTCCCACAACAGTGGTTCAGAGAATTTTGAAAACTTACCTGTGGTCGCACGGCTAGTAAGTCTCATAGTCAGAATTTGATTCCCAATGACACTTTGCTTCAGCAATACTGTACAGCTTCCTTTCTTCCCAAGTACCCTTTCATCCAGCTGGAAAACCAGAAACAGGTACATGACACAACTAGAGAGTTGTTTTAAGGCATATAGCATGGTGGTGAAGAGCTTGGGCTCTCCAGTCAGACAGCCTGAGGCCAAGCTCCAATTCTGCCACGTTATAACTGTGTGATCATGGGCAAGTTACTTAACTTTTCTGAGCCTTCCTTTCTTCATTTGTAAATATGCATAATGAGTACCCATCTCATAAGTTTGTGGGGAGGATTCAATGATATAATTCATATAAAGTGCTTAGCATAGTATCTCTTACATAATTGCTAATATAGGTTAACAATTATTCTCATATCTTGATTTTTTTTTTTAAAAGCACATGGATATTTTATTTAAAAAATTTTTTTTAACGTTTACTTATTTTTGAGAGACAGCGTGAACAGGAGAAGGGCAGAGAGAGAGGGAGACACAGAACCTGAAGCAGGCTCCAGGCTCTGGCTGTCAGCACAGAGCCCAACACGAGGCTCAAACCCATGAACTGCAAAATCATGACCTGGTCTGAAGTTGGACGCTTAACCGACTAAGCCACCCAGGCACTCCTAAAAGAGCATGTGTGTTTTAAAATATCTCTGGAAGGGTCAGGTACTGGCGAGCTTACTTTTCACTTTGATGATTTGTACAAGGTATACATTTAAATGTTGGACCAAAGATATTACTTATTTAAGAAAGCAACTACACAATGAGACAATTTTAAGGAAATACCATTATTGTTATCATTGTAAAGAATTTGGAATAATAATTATTACTCCATAATTTATTTGGATAGATGGATTTGGAGGAGGTTTCTTGGAGATGATTTACGAAGCCTTGAAGCCGGTATAGCATTTTGATGACAGAATAAAGAACTGGGAGGCATTTTAAGTGAAAGATTCTTGCAAGGCAGAGCATACAAGCAGGAAAGAGTAGCCAGTGAATGCAGTTCTGTTCAGCGATAATTGTTTGGTGCTGTGACAACTAATCCAGGTGATTGTGCTTTTCAGATACCTAAAGTGGAAAAGAGAGGGTGTAAGTGAAAAATTGCCTAAACACTCCACTCCAACACAAAAATTGAGAAAGATTGCTGGTGAGGCCAATTCCATGAGCCCTGCTGCCAGAATTATTCCGGTTCATCAATCCAAATTGAGCTGGAGGAACCTTTGACATCCCCCTCTCTCTGCCTGCAGGTCAGCTGTCTCCACTCCTGAGGTCATCACTCATCAAGAGGGGATAATCCCAAGGACAGCAGGATCTGCTTCGTCACTTGGATTTAGGAGTGAGAAACCCATCAGGCAACTAAACAGTAACAATGACCCGCCATTAAACACACTGAGAGAAGAGCATGATGAGGAGATTGTACAAGAAGAATCCCAGGGCTCTTGCTGACAACGCCTATGGAGTCACTGACCACTGTGAGCTCTGCCCATTGAACTGCAGTGAAAAATCTCCCCCTCCACAGAGATGCTTGGATGCGGGCACAGTATCAGTTCAGACAATGGTCTTTGCTTGGATTTAGAGTGGAAAGAATTTGTGCTGTGGGGTAAAAAGACCTGGGTCTGAACTGTCACTCTGCCACTTCTGTGTAGTATGCTTTGGCAACATTAAAAAAAAAATCTCTCTGAGCCTCGGTTTTTCTTGTCTGCAAAATGGAGCAAATACCGACACAGAGGGCTTGTAAGAGGACCAAATGCAGTGTTTGAAAAGCACAAGCTAGGTACTTCGCTTTATGGAAGAAGAGCAAGATGTGGGGCCAAAAAAGAAACTGGCATACACAAAAAATATTTTCTCAAAATTATTTTTTGTCCAAGGCACTCCACCTCAGAAGGTATGCTTATTTATTTACCTTAGATACCAGGAGGGAAGAGAGAGAGGATGGGGAAAGTCAGATTCTAGCTCTTACACAAGAAAATTCACTCTATATAATTTTCCGACAATGTTGCTGTCCTTCCTCAAACACTGGGGCCACAGGCATCATGCCAAAGAAGTCAGCAGCCTGGAAGATATTTTAAACGGACTCTGGGACTGAACGACAGGCCATTTGCTCCATATGCCACTGACGCGTTAATCTAGGCAAGGCTGCTAGGCATCTGGGGACATCCATGCTAAAATGCCATTTAGGCGGGGTGCACCCAGTACAGTGGCAGAAGTTCATCAGCGCAAACCATGAGGGCAGCCAAGAGGATAGAAGTGGCAAGGAAGAGTGAGAAGGAGGTGCACTCTCTAAGCCTGGAAAGATTTTCTGAGTTGCAGACACTTCATTATGCTTCTAGGAGAGCTGCAGATTCAACAAAACATCAAAACTGGGTATTTACAGTCTGGACAAATGAGTATCTGCTACTTTTGCACCCATTATACCACGTGGCCACCAACCCCATGACCCTTCTATCCACTGGCAAATACTGGGCGATGCTCTAGTCTACTAGAATGACCTCCTTTATCCCTGCAGTTTCGTCATAAAAAGCAAGTGGCTGCTGAGCGACTATAGTAGATGCCCCAGTGTCAGACTTCCCAGGATCCAATTTGGTGGGAGGACTCTGGGCCTTTGGTCTCCTTCTTCCTTTTGCCCAGCCCTGTTTCTTGGTTACTCTGAGCAGTAATGAGCTTCTCTACCCCAGCATGAGGACAGGCTCACAGCTAGCACATGAAAAAGGCTGAGCTCGTGTGGGGCAACTACTCTATTTCATGGGCAGATCACACATCTGTTTTTTCCCTTCTTCTGCAATGCAACTACACTAATGATTTTTTTTTTTTTTTAAGTAGGAATAAGGCAGTGCTATGGCTTTCTGAGAAAAAAAAAGTCACACGGCGGGATAACTGCAACAGACATCATAAAAGGAGCTAGAATGAAATGCCCACCCTTTCTTGTCTTTGGAGCAAATGATTTCCAAGAGCAAAAGTCTCGTTCTAAACTGGGGGATGTTAATAAACAAATAGGATCACTGCCCTAATTATTTTCTTTCAGGCAAATTAAACTTCTGAAAAAATCAGCTTTTCCTGTTAATGTTAGCTATTTTTCATAATCAGATGAATCTGAAAGATTATAAAAATCAAATTAGGCCACCAAAGAATGAGAGTTCTCCCAGAGTTCTCTGTGGCGAATAGCTCAGAGTTGTCATTGTTGAGGATGGGCTCTGGGAACAGCCCATGACTCAAGTCCAGAGCTCTGTCCCTTATTCATTAATGAGCACTGGCAACTTACTCAACACTCCCTACCAAGTCTCTGTTTCTTCATCTGTAAACTTGTACAGTGTAACCCCACCTTCCAGGGCTGTTATGAGAATTCAAAGAGTAGATTTGTTTGTAGTGAGGAGCATACTTTCTGGCATGTGGTCAGGGGATCTGTGGTAAAGTCATAGAGCTGATCTTGGGAACCACATGTCACTTCTGTTTTTCAGTAGAGCGACATTATCTCTGTGTGTTCTTAGCAAAGACCAAATGGATGTTTTAATCGTAAAATAATAGGTATTTTCTGAGCCTTCACCACTAGACCCAGTGGGCTGTATTATGCATTATAAAAGATTTGTAAGAAGTAGAAGAGGTTTGGGGCGCCTGGGTGGCTGAGTCGGTTGGGCGGCTGACTTTGGCTCAGGTCATGATCTCACTCATGGCTCATGACTTCGAGCCCCGCGTTGGGCTCTGTAGTGACAGCTCAGAGCCTGGATCCTGCATTGGATTCTGTGTCTCCCTCTCTCTTTGCCCCTCCCCTGCTCATGCTCTGTGTCTCTCTCTCTTTCTCAAAAATAAACATTAAAAAATTTTTAAAAAAAGTAGAAGAGGTTTTTTTGTTTCTTTGTTTGTTTGTTTCTTGGCTCAGGAGTAGCTTAAAATCAGCCAGGAAGGACAGTGACACAAATTTTAATCCAAAACCCAATGTTTGGCAACTCAATCTTAAATGAGATCCATCTTAAAACCCATGTTAAATGAGATCCTTACACCTTACTGCAGTAGTCCTTACCTGGTCTTCTTGCACCCATCCTTGACCCCCATATAGCCAATTCACAGAGCACTCATATCTTCTCAAAATTTGCTGACTGCTCCCTATTTTACATAGAATGAAATTCAAAGTCTTCACTCCCATGCCCTTCATGGTCTGGGTTCCAGTTACCTTCCTGAGTATATCTCTTATTGCGCTCTCCTTTGTTCACTCCCCTTCAGCAATACTAGCCTCGTTAATTGCACCAACTATGCTCCTGCTTCAGAACCTCTGGACTTGCTAATGTCTCTCTGGAATGTTCTTCCCTATGTATTCATATGGCTTGCTCTTCTACTTTAAATTTCTGTTCAAATGTCACAATCAGAGAAGGCTTCCCTGACCACTCTTTTTAAATAATCACCCCACCCTGCTATTCTCTATCCCCTCATTCTGCTTTATTTTTCTTCACAGAGCCGTCAAGACTTGATATAGGGAGGTTAATGTGGAGACACCTGGCTGGCTCAGTCGGTGGAGGATGCAACTCTCGGACTTGTGAGTTCAGGCCCCAATTTGACCATAGAGCTTAAAAAAAAAAAAAAAAAAAAAAAAAAAGGAAGGTTAGTGTAATGAGCTCTAATCCCTATTGCTACAACTGGTCCCAAGGCTGTAATTGATCTTTATTATCTTCATCTTCCACCACTCATTCTAGATTTCCCTTGCCAGCACTTCAGCTGGTCTAGGTTACTTTCTAGATGGGGTGACTTAGATCTGCATCCCCAGGGGTTCTGAGTAGCTTTAGCCCTTTTGGACTGAAGTGGCTGCAGTTCCATTTACAATTATCAGGCATGGTGTTATCACCAAAAGATGGCTAATTGAGTCCCTGGGTCCTAGGAAATACTCTCTTCTGCCCTACTACCTCCATTATGTAGAACCCTAGTTCCTCATAGTAATCGGGTCAATTTTCCTTAATAAAATTTCACAAGTGGATCATTGAGAATGATGGTGAAAAGAACCAATCTGATTTCTACCCATTGATTCCTGGACCCATATATTCTAGCTGTGGAGAATCAGCACTGTTAGTTCTGTATATATACTGCATGTTGGCAGATGCAGTCCAATCCTATAGGGTGTTATGCTCAAGCTGGCACCTTAAATGAGACTTTAATAGGCCATTCCATTATTCTACTAACTGGGTGATGAAGTACATTGCAAGACCAATCATTCTCATAGTCCTGTGCCCATTGTCACACTCTCCTCTACTATCAAGTGGGTCCTTTGATTTGAGGCAATGTTGTGGGGGATCCCATACCAGCAAAGAAGGCATTCTATAAATACTCAGATTGTGGTGTTGGATAGTAGTATTGGCAGCAGCATGATGGTCAAGGAAGGCAAAACCATATCCAAAGTCAGTGCCAATTCCAGTAATGGAATTGGGTCTGATGTGATCACCGTGCCACCAAGTAATTGGCTAGTGCCCTTGAGGATGGTGCTTTATCTGTTCCAGAATGTGCTGCTGCCAGGATAGATAATTAGCCATGGCAGGAACTATATCAGCCTTGGTGAAAGGGAGTTGATACTGTTGTGTCCACACCTCATCTCTAACCCTGTCATGGCCATGTCATTCATGAACCTCTTGCACGGTACTGGAGTGGCCACAGAGAAAGGCTCACTGACATCCAGAAGACAGGTCATCCTCTCTACTTGGTTGTTGATGCTCTATTGATTCACTATGAAGGATGCTCATGGGCGTTAACATGAGAGTCAGTAATCCTCACTCATTATTCCTTTCTTCATAAATCCATCCATATGTTTCTTCCCCAAAACTCCTTATAGAGAAAGCCATAAAAATGGACATTATCAAGCTGGTCATCACTATGGGCCATTTAGAATGTGTCTCAATATTGTCTGCACAAAGGCAGAAGAGAGCAGCTCTACCTACCAGTTTCCACCCTTATTGGTCAAGAGTTTCTCCGAAGGATGTTAATCCTTCTCAATGCATATGTGTGAGTGCTCAGCAGATCCCTGCAGATACTCAGTCAGGTTATCAGAGAAGTTCAGGCAAGAAGGTCTAATAAATTCATGATCCAGCTGAGACAAGAACCCCTGTCTGGTTATTTCTGAACACAGCTGTTTGCTGCAGGAAAAGTTGGGATAAAAGGTGGGCTGAGAGGACATGAGATGAAGTCTAAGAAGTGTCTGATATGCCTTCAAAGCCTGGGGAAAAAGGCATGATTGGAAGAACGTCTTAAGTTATATATGTCAGATAATAAGATATTTTTTTTATTTATATATGAAATTTATTGTCAAATTGGTTTCCATACAACACCCAGTGCTCATCCCAAAAGGTGCCCTCCTCAATACCCATCACCCACCCTCTCCTCCCTCCCACCCCCCATCAACCCTCAGTTTGCTCTCAGTTCTCAACAGTCTCTTATGCTTTGGCTCTCTCCCACTCTAACCTCTTTATTATTTTTTTTTTCCTTCCCCTCCCCCATGGGTTCCTGTTAAGCTTCTCAGGATCCACATAAGAGTGAAACCATATGGTATCTGTCTTTCTCTGTATGGCTTATTTCACTTAGCATCACACTCTCCAGTTCCATCCACGTTGCTACAAAAGGCCATATTTCATTTTTTCTCATTGCCACGTAGTATTCCATTGTGTATATAAACCACAATTTCTTTATCCATTCATCAGTTGATGGACATTTCGGCTCTTTCCATAATTTGGCTATTGTTGAGAGTGCTGCTATGAACATTGGGGTACAAGTGCCCCTATGCATCAGTACTCCTGTGTCCCTTGGATAAATTCCTAGCAGTGCTATTGCTGGGTCATAGGGTAGGTCTATTTTTAATTTTCTGAGGAACCTCCACACTGCTTTCCAGAGCGGCTGCACCAATTTGCATTCCCACCAACAGTGCAAGAGGGTTCC